CCCCTCTCGCCCACGGGCATCGAGGATCCAGAGGATGAGACCTTCAAAATGACCACTGAAGAGGGCAAGCTGAAGGTGGAGAAGACGAAGGTAAAGGCTCCTAAGGCCAAAGAGATCGAGGCAGATGTGATCTTCGACCAGCCGCCAGAGGTCATCCTAAACTCCATGCTCCCGCTCTACCTGAACTCGCAGATCCTTTCCTTGATGTTCGATTCGCAGGCCTCTGAGCTTTCAGCACGAATGTCTGCCATGAAGGTCGCTACGGACAACGCGAACGATCTGCAGAAGAAGCTCATCCTCATCTACAACAAGAAGCGCCAGGCTGCTATCACTGCGGAGTTGTGTGAGGTGACGGCAGCCGCCGTGGCGCTGGAGGGAGGTGATGCTGGCAAGGCCGGCCCGAACCTCGGTGTCATGGACAACGAAGACACCATCAGTGAGGACTTCATGAAGGAGTTGGAGGATGGCTCCATCTCGGACACGCCGCAGAAGCCCGAGGAGATCGGACCGACAGACCGCTGGGAGTTCATGAAGACGCTGCCCAAGGGCGAGGGCTTCTGAGAGTGCAAGGTAGACTACGAGAACAGGTAGGGCATCTGGGTCCAATTCTGGTTGCTTCTTTAAGGAGCCACCACTTTTCACTCTTTGTATCTTTTCTCCACAAATCTTTCTCCCCGGTTCATAATTGCAAGTGGCTGCGCAGCCTGCAAAGCATCAAACTCGAAAGTTAGTCAATAACGCATAAACCGCGACGCACAGGTTTAGTGCGGAACATCAAGCCACAGGTCAGACATGTTGCCGGAAACATAACTTAAGCAACACAATCAGAATCTGCCTGGTATTGAACAGTTTTTACTAAATGGACGGTGGTGTGGATGCACCCTCGACCAGCACATCAATGAGTGGCTGCCGCTTGTGGAAAAGCCATCGCATGACTGGTGCAAGACACGTGAAGTGCGTTGCTTTTAGTTGGAGGTATTGCGACGGTTTCTGAGCCCGAAACCATGAGCCATACACGTTCCACAACAGTATGAACTCGGAATGTGCTATTGATACATATCTATGTGTATATGTATGTATGTATGTATGTATGTATGTATGTATGTATGTATGTATGTGTATATGCACATCTATCTATCTATCTGTCAATCTGTCTATCTGTCTATCTGTCTGTGTATGTATGTATGTATGTATGTATGTATGTATATATATATATACACACACACACATATATATATATATATATATTGATTGTAATGCATGGAGATATGTGCACCCCTACAGACCGTTACATGCCGACATGTCTATCTATCGTTTACATGCACTCACAGACCCGGATCGACACAAGCACGCATGGACACATATGTCATGTATTGGCAGGCGCGAGAGGCTGCGGCGGAAGCGCTGCGCCGCGATATCTCCCGCGCCCAGGTCACTGGTCAGTTCACAATCTGTACCAGTAGCCTGTGATTTAGTAGTGGTTTTCAGCAAGCCGATTCACAATCGCAGTTCCTAGCATACTCAACATCACAGCCCCATCCATACACAGACCCATAGCAATTAACAGTTAATGGATGGGTGAAATTGCTGCTGTATCAGTAATCGATGTGAAGGCTGATCTTTCTAAATGTTACCACGGCACTTCATGACATTCCTGCTGTTTGACTGTAAATGGTACATGCTCAAACCAACGTACCGCCGCATCACTCATATATTAGTTTATTGAACTTTTGCTTGCTAGGTTGTCATTCATTCTGGAGTTATGTCAACCGATCGTGGGGCTCTTGTGCCGGTAATTACCACTGCACTAAACCTCCGTCGTTACATGTTTGTGCTATAGTGTGCTATAGCTCAGTATCTGATGGCCACTCCCATTACTCTAACGGTGGCTTTCTCCGTACTGTCATGTTGGGCAAGGCTGAAGTGTTATGTGAAGTTGTTGTGATCTCGAGCTTTCTTTAACTGTGCATCCTTATGGTTACGAGTAAGCCACCATGGCTGTGCAACTTTTGCTCAATTCTCCGAAAAGTGCTGGCAAAATCTTGGCAGGAGCACCTGTGGAGAACACAGCTGAACACCGAAGAGACCTTGCAAGACCTGGAGACACAGCGCCAGAGCTGGGAGGCGACTGGCAGGTCAGATGTGTGAATGTAATAATTAGTTAGGTACTTAACAGGTACTTGCTGGTGCGTTTTTTTGAGTAGGCTTGAATGTGGTTCAATCACGTCGATCGCATCTCTGTTCGTCTCATGTGCCGGCATCCGGTATATTTGGCGAGCGCCTTGGATTCAATAGCGAATTATCAGCAGTCATGCCACCCTCCATGATGACTTTCCTGTTCTTGTCTGTGAGAGCGGACCTGTATGTTTCAGGTACGTCTGAATTTCCAAACACCTCGGCATGAGCCATTTCCTCCAAAGTATCGCGTCTCTTTCTCCAGATCTGCGAGTTCACATTATTTCGTGTGTCGCTTGTGTGTGTATATGTATATATATACATATATTTCTATTTCTATTTCTATTTCTANNATATACATATACATGCATATGTGTATGAATATATATATATGTGTGTGTGTGTGCGTAGGTAGTGTTTGTAGGCATGCTGTGTAAGCTACAGGACACATGTTACGTCATATGTATACATCTGTATATAGTTGTACTTATACATGCATCTTGCATTTGCTTTATTTGTCCAGCTAGGAAACCCAATCGAAGTTCGAAACCATACACTTGGCCTCGCCAGGCTTAGGACTTCTTTGATTCAGGGTTCCCGACCACCCTTTTTTAAGATGTCCGGGGGCGCTAAAGAGACTCTGAAGGCTGGCATTCGGCGTTGCTTCGGTTCGGGGTTGGTGGGCAAAGCTCTCTGCTCTGCTTGCATGCGCGGAGGTGCACATCCAGGCCGGAGTAACAGCTCCTAGGAAAGGGCCAAGGCATTGTGTTGTTGGGGTGTAGTGCTCAGGGCCCAATGTGCATCCAAGCGCAACGAAAGCACTGAAAATAGTTCCAGGGTGAATCTCAAGTCAGTCTATCCAGTGCATTTCCCCGCGCAGTCCAGACAGTTCCCAGTTGTTTACCAACAGTTTCGCCCATTATGTGCATTTTCTGAAAGAAGACAAAGCAGTCAGCTGTCGGCGCTTTCATGGCAGGAGGAGGAGAAAGACTCCAAGGTGGCACGTCAGCCTTTCGGTCGCAAGTGACGGACGATAAGGATGCCATGATTCAGTTCTACACTCCCATTTGAGCTTTTCGCATGTGCCTTCTGCCGGTCCCGATTCAATATCCGAGGAAAGCACAGCAACGCGTTTACACCGCCCGCGAGAACGTTCCTTGAATGTTCATTCATGAGAGCTCCAGTGCAGCGGGAGCAGATGCGCTGCTTTGCTCGGTCATAGAGTCTAAATCTCCAGAACCTGAAGCGCTTCACGCATTCGTGGACGTGATGTCGGATATTTCCTTTTTCGGATCCCTCAAATCTTGCTTGAATCTGACCCTGCAACGTGTTACAGTGTTAGCTCTGGCCACCGTCAGGTAGATGCGTATGCGGCCCAAGCAGATGCCGAGGCTTCAGCTTGATGCCATCAATACGTTTATTTACAGGTACCAATTTCCTGCAATTGCTGCTCATTGGCTATGATGGGACCTTGCGAAGTTCCGACACGAGAGTTATGTGAGGCGCGAATCTGCTAGCAGCAGCAGCAGCAGCAGCAGCGGCGCCGCCACAGCCACCGCCACCACCGCCGCCACCGCCACCGCCGCCGCCGCCGCCACCACCACCACCACCACCACCAACACCACCGACACCACCGACACCACCGACACCACCGACACCACCGACACCACCCACACCACCACCGACACCACCGACACCACCGACACCACCACCAACACCATCAACACCACCAACACCACCAACACCACCAACAACACCAACAACACCACCAACACCACCAACACCAACACCAACACCAACACCAACACCATCAACAACAATAACAAGAGGAAGTACTAGAACCAGTGCAACCGAAACAGCCATAGCAACTCGGCCGAAACGTCGCCGTACCATCAACTGTAAGCCACTCTAAGCAACAGCGGCAGAGATCAAGAAAGCAAGAGTAACAACGTCACAGCCGTCGCAAGAAGACCAAGAATAGTCACCGCAGCAAGCAGGAGTAACAGCCGCGGCTCACACTGCCACCCTCATCGCGGCCACTAGAATCGTATATAGCCACGAAGATGGATGTGCTGATCAGGGGGCCAATAGTGTGTGACTGATGCTACGCAGGCTGATGCAGCTGCCCAAGCAGCGGAGCAGGCGGGTTTTCGTGGGGAGATTGTTGCAGGGCTTCAGGGTCATGGTCTTGCCTAGCACGGTGAGAAGGCTGTCTGCCTGTAGCAAACGAGCCTCCAGCTGGGAAGTTCGACAAAGCCAGAATACGCCCGAAACCTAGCAGGCTGCACGGAAGCCACAACGGCTCAAACGTCTTTCTCGGACGGTCCCAGAGCCATCCGAGAATAGCTTCAGCACGGTAACGGTGGAAGTCTTGCACAGCAGTTGTCGCACTAAAGAGCCCACCTAGCATGCAAGTTTTCCGAGCCTGATGTCGCTTTGCCATGATGCATGCTCACTCGGGCCGGCAGTGCTCCACTCTCATGCCAGACACCCGACAACCACCACCGGAAGGAATCTTGAAGCGGCCCGGGGATCGCGGGAGGTCTGCTCACAAAAAGACAAAGGTCCAGTGGGCACACCAGCCGCGAATGCATACAACTCACGCGCTCGACGAAGCGACCAAGGCAGAAGTCTTCTGGCCAACAGATGCCTCTCAAGACGTCACATGTGCTTACTGCGATGGTCGCGTCCGCGAGAGGTTGGTGTTCGTCGCCGAAAGCCCGGATGGCCAGCGGGACCTCATTTGTGAACGGTGTTCGCAGGTGCGGCCTGGGCACCTTGTCTCCTTGAAGCCGGGCAGAGGAGGTGTGGGGTGGTTGAGATTAGACGGCGAGGAGCGTCCTCCCTATGTAATGGAAGTCGAGGTGCAGCTGCAGCTCTGTGCCAGGCGCCTGCAGGCTCTGCAACCTCCCAGGCCTTCCATTCTGAGGCCCTCAGCCCCCAAAAGAGGCCCTTTTAAAGCTGCCATAAGCCTCTTCAAGGTCTCCTTCGAAGGCGTCCGGAAAGTCGTCGATCCATCCGACGCCGAGATGTGGAGCTTGAGCCCAGAGGCCAAGGAGGAACTTTTCTGGAGCTCCGAACGGCTGCGCAGCCTCAAGTGTGGCCGGTGCGCGAGTCTATGCAGGGCGGATAAGGGCTTCGTAGTCGAGTCCTACGATGGAATTATGAACATGATCTGTCCTGCTTGTTCCAGCGACTGGCCTCGTCATCTCCTTTCTTCAGTGCCTGGAGTTGGCGCTGGCTGGCTAAAGCTTCGGCAAGAGCAATCGCCTGGGCTTCGCCGCGCAGTTCCAGACGCCGACAACGAGGATTCTGTGACCGTGACGGAATCGGAGACTGAAGACGAGACAGAACCCGAGAGTGAGGACACAGAGGAGTCGGTTTCGCTCGTGTGGGTCAGTTGCGCAACTTCCCGGCGCGCACAGACGGCCAGTGCATCGGATTCGGCATGAGCGTCGTTGTCGTTGCCCCGAGGTCGTCCACATGAATTTAGGACACTTGCCATCGTCAAAGACGATGCTTCTCCACGGAATCAGTTTTGCACGTTTGCATCGCGTGTGCTGAGAGACAGCTGGAAAGCAGAAAAAAGCACTTGTTGAGCTAAGAACTGCGAAGACTCTGCTGTAGCAGCAGACCGGTAGCCTACAAGCTTCAAAGAAGCGAGAAGTCGCGGCTGGTGCCCGAGGAGGTCGAGGCCTCAAAGGCCGCGGCGAAGGCGGCAGTGGCTGCACACCGGGAGGATCGAAGCAGATTCCAGGACCGCATAGTCTTCCGCCAACCTGGACTTGAGATTTTGTGATTCTGGTGGTTTGCGGCTCGAGTTTTGGCAACATCATGAGAGTATGGCAGGCACTCGACTCCTGCACCCCAGCAACTTGGAGTGAGTTGCAGGATCAAACCAGCAAGGATTTGGCAGCCAAGAAGGAGCAGGCAGAGTCCTTCGTCGAAGATGTCATTGCCAAGACGAAGTCTTGCTACTTGGCTCTGCATTCAAGCAACCAAAGAATTGATGATTGCGACGTCCCTCAAATGTTTGTGTAGTCATGCCTTGCTACTGTACGTATGCAAGCGTTTTCCGGAATGCTGGCCTTGTAAGGCATGCGACAAATGGAAACCGAACGGCACCATGCGGCCATGCACATGGACCGCGTGCACTGCACTGCAGTGCATCACAGACAGTACAGCACCAGGGGTTTAGGGCCAGCTTCGTTGAATGCTGCCGCCAGGACCTTGTGGCAGAGAGGCACCAGGCCACCAAGACGGAGGCCCAGGCAGGGACCGGCCGCGTTTCACAAGAGGACCAGCTTGTAGGAAGCCAACAGCCGGCGAGGCCCGCATGAAGCTGCATGAGGAGAAGTCGAAGAAGCAAGCCAAGGACCGAATTCGGAGATGCCCACAGAAACCTGGGGACTCATTCCAACTTCTCGAAGCACAGGAGCTTGAGCACATGACGCACCAGCTTCGATTGCGGAGCGATGAGGTGCCTAATCAGCGCGCTTTGGAATTGAGATGCAGACCGAAAACCGACACCAGACCAAGAACTAAACGAGCAGCATCGCTGGTGGTGTGGCAATTGCTGCAAGAGTATAGTTCCACTGGCCTGTATGCAACTCTAAGCTTGTAGCGCCCTAGTATTCATGGGCTTGTCAAGTCGCAGAATCTCAAACGCAGGCACTGGCCGAGAAAATGGCAGGGACGCAGCGGGAGCTGACTAGCGCAAAGGCCTTCTGCGCGCAGGCCAGCTTTGTGGCCCATCAGTTTCGTGGGTTTGGGAAGAGCAGAAGTCTGTTTCCCCAAACCTCATCTTCCGAAATGATGCCCCCGCCAAACACTTAGAGATGATGTAAACCCTAAACCCTAAACCCTAAAACCCTAAAGCCTTAAAATCCTAAAATCTATATTGCTTTAGCCAGTCGAGGTCTCCAGTCCAAATGTGTTGGCTAGCCAAAATCGAGCCCCAAGCTCGCACAGCATGAGCAAAATGGCTGCTGAACGGAGTTTGACATCTGCGGCCTCGGAAAGAGACCCAAATTATTACAAATTGCATTCTATTCCGCCTTCCTGAAATTTAGGACCCAGAAAAATTCAGAAGAGATTGATCCCCGAAGCTCGTTGTGGGGCTCCGGGCAGCGGCTCTAGACATCCCTTCTCCCAGAGGTCGCCCGCCCACAGCATGTCCCACACCAGAAAAAAGAAATGACATGAGAAAGCATGCGAAAGAAGTCAGCCAGATACAGCAGACTAGAAGACTGCTGGAAGAAACTTTGCACTGAGGTTCAGGGTTTGGAGTAAATGCGCATGTAGAAATCGTGCGGTCAAGGAGCCTGAAATAGCTCAGGGTCTGAGAGTTTGCCGAGAGATGGTACATAGAACCGGACCCCTACTTCACTCACATAATCGTTTGAGAAAAAGTGGTCCGACAAGGACCAGGTCAGTCGTCTTATTCGCTCACATCGTGTTGGTTGCACAAGTTAAAGGCGCTTATTCTCCTGAGTCCAGCTGGCCCTGGAAAGGTGCAGACAGACATGGCAGCTTGGCTTCGATCAGGCTGGTTCGGAGACAGTGGCAGCTTGCGAGATGTGTCGTTCTGGAAAATTAAGCGACACGCACGGTGCTGCATTCGCAACAGCGAACATTGCCGCAAACCATGAACCGGAGTAGACATGCTGTTAATTCAGCTTTGGGTTTCATCATGAGCATTGGTGTTTTCTCGAATGCCTCACTTTGTGTGCGACATCCTCAAAAATGCCAACCATTCAGAAGTCCGCTCCCTGCTTTGTGCTGCCGCTGTGGGGCGGTGCAATGCATGGCCCCTCGTCCTATCCGAAGCCAATGGCTTCTGGTCCGTAGGAGACTAGATTCCTTCGAAACCTGCAAATCCTACACACGGAGCAACTCAGGAAGAGGCCATCCGTAGCACCAAGCTGGCTGCTATGAAGATCGAGGCTGGCTGCCTCGGAAGTTACCGCGAAGTCTTCGTCTTCCACCGACGTACAAATAATTAGTACAAGTATCCTAGTCCGCGAGTGACTAGTATCGATGCTAGCCGGCATCCGGCCTCATCGTCAAGTACTGGACCCAAGCGGAGCCGAGCATAGTAAAGCGGTAATTACCGGATCACCTGACAAAGGCAGAAGCTGCAGCAAACACCTTCGAAGAGCAGCGCCGCTTGGCTTCAAGCCATGTCTTGGCGTTCTTTCAGCATAGTATACAGTTTTTTTCGTCTGCTATTCGATACTGGACTAGGCTAGACTGTGGAATCTACCAAACAGCCACATAATAAAGTCAGGTTGAAGTGTTATCTATTATGGAGATATCCCTCGCCTTTCGGCGAAGTCCGTTGAGAGCTGGCATCTCGTAGTTCTTATGTCGTTGAAGACATCTAGTACGGGACGGGTTCGAGATGCTCCGAGTTCGGGGTTGTGCCTGTTTTGGGAGCTGTGAATAGGGTCGTGAGAGTGAGCAGTAAACCGAGGAAAGCTGCAAGACTTGGAGAACAATGCTTTGCAAAGCTTCAAGGGACGTCCGGAGTTATTGCTGAGATGTACTTGCATGACAAGGTTAGGTCAAGGTTCTGATACTGTGAGCCGGGTCCAGCGGTCAGTGGCTCGCCGAATTGACTGGACAGCCAGTTTTCAAAATTATCGGCAAGTTGTAGGTAGTCCAGCTGTCCATTGCTAGCCTGCCTGAAGTGGAGCAAGCAGCTGCTTGTGATGATCACAGCCAGGAAGCCGTGAAGAAGCACAAGGCGCTTGGGACGAAACTGCTTCGAGGCGTAAAGCCCTGCAGGCGCGGATCTTGCTGCAGTTGGTTAGTTGCCTTTTCGCGACACTAGCCAAAGACTTCGGAAGCACTGTGCTAGCAGAAAGGGTCATGAATCAGTTGGTTCGTTGCACGCACTTTGCCAGGAGGAGCTCGATGAGATCCATGCCCAGTACCAAAAGTTGCACGACGACACGCGATCCAAGACTGGCCAACTTGTCACTAAAATGCTCTAGTACTAATAGTAATAATAATAGTCATAATAATAACATATCAATTACTGACAAGTTCGTGATAGACTCCGATCGCCTCTTTTCTGGCAGGCCGGTGAACAGACCTGACTATACGACCTCTAAGACTGAAAGTAGTGGGCTTGCCCTGGTTGCCTCCGTCATGATACTTTCAAGTTGTCGTGCTCGGTACACTGGGCGGTGTAGAATGTTCATCATTTGCAAAAGTTTCATTCCAATCGCCACTCCCCTATCGACACGCTGTGGGGCCGGCGCTTGCTTTTGATGTCTCCGCAATCCGCAGGATGACTTCGATCATGGCTCAGTGGAACGAGAGCCGTCAAGCCATGGAGAAATCCATTGCTGACTTCGAGGTGAAGCGGAAGGAGCGCACCACACGTTCAGAATACTCCTTTCAAGCAGGATCGTACACGATCCTACTTCGTTCCTTATTCTAACGCACTCGGATATGATCTACCTGCGGACCTGGGGACCAATATTTGCACAACGGGCAGTGCAGCAGTCCTTCGGATTGTCACGATGTAGGGGAGCCTTTTTCTCGCCCAGGACGCCTTCGAAGAGCTGGACGTCGTCATGCAGAGAACCAAGGAGAAACATCAGGCCGCAAACTGGGAAAGTCGGGCAAGGCTTCGCCATTCGACACGAACATGACAACGACCATTAGCCGCCATTAGCCCTCCACAACAACGAACACCAACACCACAAGAACAAGAACAAGTGACATGCACGAAGAGCAGTGGCGATGAGAGGGATGATGATGGTGTTGGTGATGCTGGCAATGATGGCTGTGATGATGCTTAATGAGAATCGTGATCATGATGCGAATGATGATTGTGATTGCTTCAGCTTTTTATTTTTGCTGTTGCTGCTGTTTGTCGTTGTCGTGGTCGTCGCTGTGACTGTCGCCGTGGCTGTTGGTTGTAGTTTGTTGTTGTTTCTTTTCGGTTGTTTTTCGTCCTTCATGGTTGCGTGGTCATTGATGGCTTGCTTGCTTGCTTGCTTGCCTGCTTGGTGGTGGTTGTTGTTGATGATGTTGCTGTTGTTGTGGTGCTGGTGGAGGCATAGAGAGGTTTTGGTTCGTGGCTTTGACATCTGACCAGACCGATAATCCTCGCCTGGCTGTGTTGTTTGTGCGTAAAATCCTTGTGGAAAATTTCAACACAAGTTGAAACCAACGCCCTGACAATAACCCACAGGCGCCCGTACAGTGCAGTGCAGCTCTGATGTTGTGTTTGGTTTGAAGCCTCGGGCAGGTGCAGAATCAGGCCATACGGCAGAGCTGCGTCCACGCCGTGGCCGAGTCGCCGACTGAGTACTTGCTGTATTCATGCTACAACAACAGCAACTGTTGTGGCACTACTACTGCTTCTGCTGCGGCTCCTGCGTGGTGTTAATGCTAAGGCTAATAATGATGCTGCATCAGCAGCAGCAGCACTACTACCAATACCATTACCACTACCACACCACAAGCACGACGAGGACAAATACAAGGACGACCACGAGCACGACAATAAGACTAGAACCGTACTTGTAATGGGATGATGGTTTTGTACGGTTGTTGTAGAAATGGAATTCCTATTAGTCCTACTAGTACTACCGTAAGTGCAAGGACGTCACCATTGCAGCCCCTGTAAGATGTGTCGCTGCGCCCATTTCAGCCAATGGCGGATCTCCTTGCTTGCGGTCGTGGCTGTCATTTCCTTCTAGCCAGGCCCAACCGAACCTCAAAGTGTGTCTGATCGACGCTAGGCTTCGAAGGCTCGTTGAAGCCACGTTCCTTGAATCCTTCAAAAGAAGCCATCAATCCGCCTTTGCCTTCAGCAAGCAAGCTGTGCCAGATCCTGGCTCAAGCGCGCAGCGCCACCCGTCGTGCCCTGTGGATTCCCTGCCTCCTGTTCAGCCGCCAGGCTGTGATACATAAGATAGAAGCCTGGCTCATTACTACCATTATTCCTGAGAGCTCCGCATTGTGATTGTACCATAGTGTGCACCAAAACTCTGTTCTAATCATGAAGGCCCATATATTATCACATATCTCCGTACGGAAGACCTGGGGCTGGGGTATCAGGTGAACTTGCTGGACTGTCGCGTGGTGCATTCATTTGTAGCAGCTGCAAGTAGCAGAGCCGCCAACTGATGTAGTGTTGGGATCGCATTTTTGTTTCCAGTGGTTCCCCTTCCAGGACGCCGTAAGATGTTCTTGCATACGTGGGAGTTTGTTCCCGTCCCTACACCACCTCGAAACCTTCCCCGATCCTGCACGCGGATCGTTTTGGAGAGCTCGTAACCCAACTTGCAGAGCCCAGGCATGACGCAGTCCCGGCTTTTGCCAACGGTGCTGCTGGCCACCTCGTCATGGCTCCTGATCTCCCTCTTCGGTTCCCAGCAGAGCCTTGGCGCCGCACGACACAGAGAGCATCTGGCTTCCCCCGTAAAACGAAACATGGTCCAAGATTGAAGATTTTTCTGTTTGCCGGTGTCCCAATCGGAAGTTGAGGACCTCCTTCCTGACGGGCACTTCGCCGGCAGGATCTTCTCGCCAGAGCCGAACCGCCATGCGAGGCTTCAAGGATGACTTCTACGCATGGAAGGATTCCCTGAGCAAGGATGAGCAGGCCCTGCTCCTGAAGCAGGCCCAGAACGAGTTCGACAAGAAGTTCCGCAAGAGCGACGAGTTCAGCCAGGACCTGCCTGAGGAGAAGATCCAGTCCTTTGCCAAGGTCCTCAAGAAGTTCTTCGACAACGCAGCTCGGCCTGCGTGCAGCTCCCTAGAATTGTCTGCACAAGAGCCCCGAAAAGAGTCCCCTGCATGCAGCAACATGCGCGCACTCTTTTTGTTTTTCGAGACGGTTTGGGCCAAGGAAAAGGATGACTACAAGAAGGCGCCCGGGAAAGTGGGGCGGCTTCTTTACCGGGTCTGTCCATCTGTTTCTATTGTCTACTGTGGCCGGCCGAAGCAGAGAGTTAAGTTAAGTAAAAGAAGGGAGTTAAAAGGTCCCTATTGCAAGACAGCGTGCTCGTCGTCACAATCTCCCGCTCGGGCACCTGCGCACCCCTAGCTCGAATCGCAGGACGCCGACCAGAGG